AAATTACGTGTTAGAAAACTTGTGAAGTAACAAAGACTTGGAGAAATTATCCAAAGATCCGACCATTCAAATGTGAAAATTATTATGTTGTGGAATTTCCGGTCTTCAGATATATAGACGGTTGGGAAGAGAACAAGTAATAATAATTCAATTTCGATAGAGTTATTATAAGAGTAATGCTATGAATTTCAAATTAAAATAGACCTTTGAATTAATAGATCCTGTTAATTTTTTTTTGCAGGATTCATTCATTTAAAGATCACAACACCAATTGTGGAAACGATCCCAAATTTGAGATCCGAAGTATTTCTTGTTTATAAGAGTAATATTTGATCTGCCTTAGAGTATCTCCAACCATGACTTAAATTTGAGTAAAAAACTTGGTTTAATATAGAGTACTCTAATGAGCAAACTCAAATATCTACTTAAATCTTTTAAAAAATTCATTTATTATCCAAAAACTCATTTTTTTTCTATTATTCAAATCATGATATTTGATAAAATAAATGAAACTTTCATATATCTCAACAAATGATTAATTCAAAAAAAAAAATGAATATATGTACAACTCTACATGAGAATAAAGGAACCACGCTAGAATTTTAAAATTGTTTTAATCCCTTATCATTTTTTATAAATCCAGATAAATAAAAAGAAAAGGCAGAGAACAAGTTGGTGAATGATTTGTGAAAGCTTCGAGAGTAGTCGGCGATGAAAGCAACGTAGTAGCAAGAAATAAGCAGTGACAGAGAACAAGTCATCGAAGAAGTCTTTAAGTTTTGGATAAGTTAAAAAGTAACCGTTTGAAATCTGATATAAAATTTGAGTATAGATTTGAGTTCAAGATTGGAGAAATTTTTTGGGCCATTTTGATTCAAATTCAAATTTAAGTTTACATTTAAGTGAAGTTTGGAGATGCTCTCGGTGGTTAAGTTGAAGTATATGATATGCCTCGGCCTATCACTTTCTGAAGATGATCTGGATTATTCTTGGCTGATGTGGTAGTATTATTTCCCACGACACGGATTTGAACTTTGAATGGCTGCAAACGATGACCAATGGCACATTGAGTTTGGTATACCTCCGGTAAGTGCAAGAATGAAATACACACTACTAAATCATAAATAATACATTTTTAATTGTGTTCTATATACCAAATATGAGATGATATTATTTACTATAAAATCATTCTATAATAACCTATAATCAATTGATACCACAAAAAAGCGATCACCATCTAGGGACAACAGTGGATCCAAAAAAAAAAAAAATTAGTCCAAATTCATCTTATTTGAACCGAAGATAAATCATACCTATTAGATAGTAAACGTATATGAAGATATCCATATAAATTCGTACAGAGATGAACTGACACTTACCCCTACCCTCGTCCCGTAAATCCCCGTTTTATATATATCTTCTGCCCTAATTCAACACGCTTGATTGTGATTGGCAACCTTGGAAAGTTAATTTGGTAGTAGTTGAGGTGGATCAATGTATCCTGTTCGGTGGGGAGTGGGACCCCAAGGCCATCTATTGACTTTGGCAATGAGATGTTGATTAAATTATGTTATGCATTCTGCTTGGTCCTTCGAAAGTTAATCTGCTTGTACCTCTTCCTAGCCAATTCTGCTTGTTAATAGTTATGGGTTGTTTTTTTTTTTTTCAAATTTTTTCTGAAAATCACAAAAATTATTGTAATGGGTGGTGACAGGGGCAGAGGCTAGGATTTGAATTTATCCGGGACGAGGATGGAAATTAAAAGTTATCTCATTAACAAGGATGAACCATAGATGAACGAACATTTTTAAAATGGATACAAGGGTGGTGACTACTCCCATGTCCCCAATTCACTATCATTCCTATTGCAATTGTTGATGCTAATACCATGACCACTCTGACCTCCATCTCGACCACTACCACTATCCTCTCCACTATTAAGAAATATTCTAGAATTTTAGAATTGTTTAAAATTCTAAAGATTAAAATAATACTTAGTTCATTTTCTGGAGCCTGCTAATATTATGAATAGAATAATGCTGGCATGTTTGATATACTAGTGAAGTTTATTTTATTGTTTAGCATGCTATTTAAATTTGATTTATATACTCGATTTTATTTAAATCGAATTTTATTTTATTTAAAATGAAAACATTTATAATGTGGAATTAATGTTGATCAGTATAGCCTAAGGAACCAACTGATCTTTGGTTTAATGATACTCCTTATTTTGTGAAAGTTTTGCCTTATTGATATCAAAGGTTCAAGTTTGCCTCCACCTCCGCCTCCTCCTTCCACTCCCAAAAAAAAAAAGTATGGCCTAGAGATACTTGATCTCGTGGGAGTTTTATTTTCTTCAAAATTAAAATTTTGCGTGTAATGCCCCAACCCTAATTTCTATATAATCCAGAGCGGTAATAACCTTTATAGGTACTAAATAATATAATCTCAAAAATAATGAGTAAACCCTTATATCAATTCCATAAACATAACGAATGTTTGCTATTAAGCTCAACAAATAAACATACAATACACAGTTATGATACAACTCAATCATACACTTATTATATTTCACACATGTATATCAAGTTCATTATCTTGAAAATTGGCAATTCAATCATTCATAAACTTCCCCACAACCTCCTAATTTGAAAAAGGAAAAATAGTGTAGGGTGAGCATCAATAGCTCAATAAAGTAGTTCAATTCCAAAGCATGTGAGTTTGAAAATAATATAATTTGACATAATTGGACAATATTAAAACAGTTTATTTCATATATAAGTAATAGAGCAAAAAACATTGAGCAGAAATAGTTAAGTTGAAAACAATAATACGATCATAACATCAATACAGTGTTGCACCAGTGGATGATCATCTTAATAGACCATTCAGGGTCAATAACAACATATGATCCAATCTTTTGGAGGACTTTTACCCCGAGGAAAATACCCTCCTTAATAACAATTTGGTGCCCAATTTCAAAGACCAACAAAGTCACCTAAACTTTTACGAACTCAATGAGAAACCCTCTACAATCTCAACCTGGAACATAAAGCAACAGACCACACAATAAGATACAAATTCAGATTTGTGGAGTATCGTCGAATTTCAGTTGTAAGTAAATGAATTTGCATGGGGAACGAGACCGGTGTGAATTGCAACACGAATGCATTCTATAATTTCTTGATGTATTATATAGTCCAAGAATCCTACGAAATTTGTTGTCAGTTACTAGATTTTATTTTGTATTTTCAAGGTCAGAATGTTGGCATTCATAAGCGAATCATATTTTATGGATCTCGTCATATCACATAGGAATTTATTGTATTAGATATTGATTGATGGCGTTGATTCTATTAGATAACGTGTTAGATTAAGTTATATCGAATAAGATAGAACGAATAAATAAACTAGAGTAGGTCTTTTGAGTCCTCTCACAAAAGTCAACTTGGCCGTCAAATTCATTTTTATGTTCTTATAAAGCAATTATTACTTTTTGTTGAAGTTAGGGTAAGAAGTGTTATCAGATTTTTTCTATTTTCTATTTGACTTACTTTCTCAACCTAGTTAGTTTCTTGTAAAGTTGCTACATTAACTTTTCATCTATTTGTGTATGTATTGTGGTCCCATTCTTCAAATCAGTGTGCTGGACTGGATTGGACCGATGGTTTTACCTTTACCTCATTCAAAATGACACAGGAGCCCTTCACCTATTTTTTGAAATACCGAGGTATGACTTTTTGAAAGAGGAAATGGGAGAGGAGGCGACCAGCCGGTAATGATACCCTTTGGGTGTGATCAAGAGCGTCTTTTTTGACATGAAATATTTGGTTAATCATAGTTATAGCCTCTTTTAGTATAGTTCATCATCACACCACTACCAAAGCATTAATGAGCAAGATAGGGAGATCCCGTGGATCGAAACCTGTTTTCTAATTTCATGAGAGTCAAGGTACGACTCTAAGACAGGCCTGTCTTACCACTAGATCACCAACTCCGATGATGAAGTATGACTATAATATGTCATTTTAATATGAATATTGTAGTGATTGCACAAATATTTTCAAGATTCAACTTCATAAAAAAAAATGACAAACACAATTCTTATTTTTTAATCGGGCTAAGAACAGTTGTCTACAAGATGAGTACTAAAAATGAAATAAAAAAGTTCATTTTTAATACTCAACTGACGACAATTAATTTGGTGAAATAATAACATAATTTATTAGAGAAAAAGGATAAATAATGCTAAGAGCATGTGGGTCCATCTAATCATGTTGAGTGGTTGCTTGTTTTATTCTAGTCTGTGGAAAGTTTCCATTGTGGCATGTTGCTGTTTCAGGCTTCCACCTATGCCTGTCTAATCTTAGGTCCTTGTTGCTGTTTCGGGCTTCCACCTATGCCTGTCTAATCTTAGGTCCTTCTCTGTTTGTCCACTCATTCGGAAGACCAGAGAGAAAAAATTGGTTTTCCTGATGCTCTATATCCCAGCGTAATAACATTTCCATACTATGACACCAAGCACAGGAATGCTAGCATGATGGCCAAGTCATCTAGGTTTTTAACAGATGCCCGGGCTCGCTAACCATGAACTCAATCCATTTCCGTCTTCTCAAACAACAAAAATCTATCCTTTTCAATAGGCATATACGGATCTACATCTTCTCTAGTTTACTTTCTTTGAATTTCCCACAGTGGTACAGCAAGTGTTACTTGAATTCATGATAAATCAAAATCATCTTACGGCGTTTTCAAGGAAAAAAACCCAACTGAAATGAACCGGAGGGCATCCAGATCCTAATTATATAAGCAGAGAATAACCAGCTGCAAAAACATCCCATTTCAGCAGAAACGCAGACGTTCCATTTTACATAAAACACAATTACATCAGGAATTCATTACGTGCATTTTTTCATGTCCCACAGAAATAAGCATGTATCGTGGTGTACAGAATAAACCAAATCAGTCCTGAAACTTGGTCTAAATTAAAGTACAGTAAACTAAGAGGCCTCGGCAGGAGGTTGGGTCAATCCAGACTTCACTAGCAACTGACTCAGGGACTCGGGCGACATTATCTGGTACTTTACTTTCCCAGAAGAAAGGAAAACCTCGGCCAGTTCAAGCTTCTCTGAAGTAAGACTTGTGCTGTCCATCGTCTTACTGAGTACCTTGAGTACAAGCTGTACAGCCTCTTCCCTAGTGATATCATCTTTATAGTCCTGCTTAAGCATTGACTGTGCCGCTTGGTTATTAGCTCCAATTGATGCAGCCTTCCAACCACCATAATTGCCACTCGGGTCACTCATGTAAAGCTGGAAGCCAAAATTTTTATCCCACCCCGCAAACAGAAATGAAACTCCAAAAGGTCGGAGCCCACCAAACTGTGTGTAGCCCTGCTTGGTGTCACATAGAGACTGAACTAGTTGTTCAACAGGCATAGGTTCTTGGTAAGTGAAAGTATAGCGCTGAGCTTGGAGCCTGGCAGTGTTGATCAGAATATTCGCATCAGACATAATTCCTGCCACAGCACATGCTACATGATCGTCAATTTTGTACATCTTCTCAGTTGATTTTGAGGTCTGAAGGAGCTTGGAAGTTACTTTCTTCTCACCAACCAAGACAACTCCATCTCTTGCCAGAATTCCTATGGCAGATCCTGCATTTCCAATAGCTTCCATAGCATACTCAACCTGATAGAGGCGACCTTCTGGGGAGAAGATCGTCGTACGGCTATCGTACCTTCGAGACATCTACCAGATCAGATTGAAAATAAAATAAGTCCATACCAAAGAATTTTGGACATTAAAGATGGACGCTGAAGATGTATCAGTTTAGTTACGAAAATAAAAAGGACAAATTATATTTTTACCCTCATAGTTGCATCTCTTAGCACTTTACCCCATTATAGTTCAAATATAACAACACAAACCATAAGTGGTTTTAGATCAATATGAACAATTAACACCATCAACGGCTATGGAAAAATAAGGACCACCCCAATATTGAAATTATATTTATCCACCTCCAAAATACCATGCAAAAAATAATCGAAGGTCACCTCTGTCAAAGCCAAACAACAATGCAAATAACTCTGCCATAAAAACCACGCATATCTGTCAATCTAGAAACTGAAAGGAGCATGACCCTTAAGCCCATTACTTCCGCTAATACCCCAACTCACTGAAGTTCCCAACTGAACCCAGTGTAGACACCACAACAAAACCACAGAATGAGGAAGAAAGGTAAGTCCCAAAGTCATCATGGATAAGAATCCATATCAATGTAATCAGCTTAATCTTTTATCAAATCTTATATGGAGAGAATCACAATAGAAAGTTTCTAATCCTGTCTCCTGAGTCTGAGAGGGATCACATAGTAACACGGCCAGGGAACCTCAACTCAGAAACTACATGGACGCCCATAAATGATTGCATCCAATCAGACAGTGGACTCCAGATTGCAAGAGCAAAAGGGGCATAAAAGGGAACATACTTGCATAATTATAGAAGATGCATTTACCACAGGAATGGGTTCTCTATCCATGAATGCCAAAGATATTAAGCTTCTTCATGGCAACTGTCCTAGAAAATGGTTTTCACTATGATAAGGGGTGGAATAGGGCCTTATGACCAAAACTCTTAAGGACTTGAGAAAAATAATAACAATTCAGTCAATGGCTTCGAACTCAATTTTTATGAGAATTGTAAGCTTGTAGCAGTACAGGAAATTCCTCAAGTGGAAACGTCATGGAAGGTTACAGGATGAAACACTAAAATGATTTGGAAAGCAAAAGTGTCACTTCAAGTTTAAGTATTCACATGAATAATTTCTTAAGGGACTCAATATTAATGATTTGATTTAGATAAGAAGATCCCGTTATTCCCTTTATTCATACTGGTGTATTATGAGCAGGAAGAGTGATGAGACTCTTGATCATCTGCTCCTACACTTTCCGGATGCAATGTTTACCATTTTCAATATTATGGAGAACGCAATTCATGCTGGTGGAGATCTGGTGTATTACCAGTTTCTTGCGATCCGATCTTTGTGAATGAGATTGATGGTTTTGGAATGAATAAGAAAGCTTGTTCTTTAGGATATATGTGGGGTTGGAAATTTTTGGGGCTATAGGCTTAGAAAAGAACACAAGAATTTTTTAAGACAATGTGGTGGTTAAGGATGGAGGAAGTGGGGTTTCAATACACTTTAGTTCCAAATAATTTGCTTCCTTACCAAGTTATTTAAGAAAAAGAGCATGACTGTGTTTAACATAGATCCAAAATTTTCCACAAATCAGAAGAATCAATGTAACTTGCACCCCAAAAGCACCAATTATTTGAGATTGCATGTGCAAATGAATGTACCCCAACGCTGAAATCTGGTGTATAAATGACCTAGAAAGGGGGTGAATAACTTTTATACACTCAACGCAGAATTTAGGCCCAAATTAAAACCTATTCAACACCTATATGCAACTAATGTGCAATTACACCAAAATCCCCAATTTCAAACAAACACTCACAAAGGAGAACAACTTAATGGATCATAAAAATTGCAAGTTCAAAAAGATAAAACAAGAAATCTTGCATCCAAAACACAAGCAATTTTTAATGTGGAAAACTCTTCCTGGTAAAAAACCATGGGAATTAGTCCTGCTAAACTAATCCATTAGGCTTTGTTTGGTTAACAAGAAAATGGTCGAAAATACAAGAATGAGAAAAAAATTAAATTTTTTCCATGTTTGTTTAGAAAAAAACTGGTACAAAATACAGGAAAGTAGTGTGCGGGGTCAACTAAATTTTCTTGTAAATCTAGCTTTTGGTTCCTTGCAAAAGCAGTGGAAAAACATTTTTTCCAGCCATAGGTAGCCCACATTCTACGCCTTTGCCCACAATTGGTTTCTTCTCCTCTTCTCCTTGCACCATGCAAACAAGAAGCTGGCAACAAAGCTATACAGCAAAATAAGACTCACGCCCAAATTTTCACAAAACCAAGGTGACGTAATGTTCCACACATACTTACCCATATTAACCAAGCACCGGGTTTAATTAACAGAAGATATAATATATGCGGTCAAATAGTTCTAGGTTAATATAGCAAAATTCTCGATGTGTTTCTGTAATCAAATGCATTATTGTGCCCAGATTGTAATTTCTATCATTGTGTATGTGTTAGTTTGGTATGATAAGGATAATTTAGTACTTACACCAATTTTTCTATATTCTTTTAGCAAACTTTTCATTTTAATAAAATGCATACAAGAAAATAAATTTCTCTTTCCATTTCCTTTCTTTTATTTCACTTTCTACTGTTTGCACTTTGCATCATCAATTTCTTTCTAATCAAACGGACCCTTAAGCTTCAAATTAGGTTATAAGACTCAAAGACTCATACCTCAACTAATTCTATGATTAGATGTTTTCTAGTATTGAACTTCAACTCTGGAATCCACCACGAACTCTTGAACACTTGAGATTAGCTCCACGAACTGAGTCCACAATCCGCCAAGGAATCCTTCTTCTTCAAGCATTGAAATACTCCTTCTTCAACCTTGGAATCCTCCTTTAATCTTGGAATCCACCAAATATCTCTAAATTGGTGAAAGTTTATGGGTGTTCTACAAGATCTCTCTCTATCTCATGAATAATCTAAGCCAAATCACTAGAATGATCTACGTCGAGATGGCCTTTTGGGTTTGGGAAGACTAAGGTTCTTCTCTTTAGTTTTTTCTCTCTTTTCTTACCTCTCTCGGAACCCTTATGGTGTAAAAATACGGTCCCACATACATGAGCGTCAAAAGTAGAGTTTAATTGGAAAACAAGCAAACTCAATTTTTCGACAAACTGCTCAAGTCGTCTTCTCTATTGGAATTCAAAGGGAGACCGCTCAAGTGACCATCAAGCGAGGTCTATAGAAAATTTCCAATAACTCCTACCATAACAGGGACCGATCGAGTGCAAGGCCAAGGATTATTAGGCAGTCTCCACTGGTTGTTAAGTCTAAAACCAAGTAAAAACTCAACCTTTTGAGTCCCAAAAAGGAGTTACTCAACAAAACTCCAAGTCATGACTCTAATAATGTTTCAAAATCATCCTTTCAAGTTCAAAAAATATTTTAATAACAAAACAAGTGCAAATTCGAATCTAAATCCATTTTATACACTAAAATTAAAACCAATCCAAGGTCACTAAGGTCTAGTACCTCGCCTAAACTTGATGGATTCCAAGAAGTCTTTGAATGTATCACGAAGCTTGAACTTCTTTTTCTAATCTTGCTTCAGTCTCCATCTTCATAAACATCATGACCTTTTGGATTTAGTTGAAATACATTACATGGAACTCACAAAATTTACCGATTACATAATTTCCTAACAGAGATGCAGGCACAAGATGACCGTGGAACAAGATAAACATCTATAAAAAGGTGAGGATTGAGCAAAAATCATTTTTGATGGAAGTGGATAAGAAATTGAATGGCCAAAGGCTGTTCACATGAGAGAGAGAGAGAGATTCTTTCCCATTTTTGATGAAAATGGGTTGTGCACATTGATTAGGGGAATCCATCATTGGTTGGGGAATCCATTGAGAAACTTTGAAATGGAAGAACACTAGGTTTTTCTTTTTCCAACAAGTTATAGGATAATTCGTACTGTGCATGGGTTGAAATGGTATGAAATAGAAGAGAAGAATGTATTAGAGTGACAACATTGTAGGGCAATGTAGGTAGAATTGGTTTGATTAATTTGAAAGGTTTAAAATGGAGGTGGACAGACTATCCAAGCTGAATTTGTAAAAGATGTGAACAATGTTGCAAAATAGGGAAAGAAGTTTGGAAGAACTGAGGGTGGATGATATTACATTCATTGCTGAATATGTAAGTAGGAACAATGTCGTCAAAAGCGCGCCAAGGCACTTGTCTAGTCATTAGGCGAGCTAAGGCCTGGTATGTACAACTAGAATGGTGTCAGACAAGGCAATTCAAACAAGGCAAAATCGAGTTGAGAAAGGCTAGTTAAGAAAAACTATGAGTGTCTTACATTTGCGCGAAAGGAGACACAGGTGAGTGTTTCACTATTTATTTTTTCTAACTTTGTTGATATTTTATGAAGCACTTGATCTACTCAATTGGAAAAGAAATTTGGTATATATATATATATATGCCTTTAACCTAAAAATTTGCTTGGAAGAATGGACTAAAAATCAGATGAAGATAATAAGCCCATGTTTGATCATGATTCTTTGACTTCATGTGATATTGCTTGAGCTTCTGCTGGAGTTGCAAAAAGTAGCCAAAGAACTAGATCAACATCAACCTTTAGGACAACAACAAGGGTTTCAAGATCATTGAATACATTTTCACTCATAGATAAGCAAGAATGGCTTTGAATGAGGTAGAGGAGGATGATGCAGAAGAAAACAAATATAGTAACAAATAAGAAAATGATTTATTTGGTGATGAGGATAATTTTGAGGTCTTTAGGATTGATAGAAGCATTTAGTAAATGTTTAGTTGCTCTAACAATTCGGTTTATATCTTATGTGTTTTCAAATGGTAAGAATATAAGATATTATTGGTGCTTGTTTGAATTTGGATATTTATGTTTTTTGTTGCATTTCAATATTTAGCATTTGAAAAGTTAAAAATTGAATATTTAGCCCTTAGCTTTGCATCTCGCCTAGGCCTTAGGAGATCTTAGTGCCTCGAGTCGCCTTACGCTTTAAATAACATTGGGTAGAAGAGGCGTTGATAATGATAGTATTGATGAATCGATATGGAATTTCATGGTAACATGTGTCAGAGAGAGCATATCTCCAAATTGAAAACAAAATGGTTCCTACACCAGGCTCTAACTAAGAATCAATTGGTAGAATACTTATTACTAATGTGTGGGAAGTTAGTCATTAAAGTGGACTTTTCTACCATATTGGGAGAGATCTGTAAGTATTTAATTATTTGTAACGAAAGGATGGTCATAGGATCGAACGTGCCTGTTGGAATATTTACAATCTCAATTAATTGAAAATTTTGAATTATAGTGAGGGGTTGTTGACAAAGATTTATAGTCCAAGTAGGCCAAGAATTAATAAGGTGCTTGTGGGAGAGTAGGCCAATTGATCCACGATTGTCAAATGCAAGATGCACTTGGTCGAGTCTTTAGAAGAATTTTTGTGTTACAGATTGGACAGGTTTTTACTTTCTAATGGGTGGGAGGAATTATTTCCATTTGTGAGACAAAACGAGACTTGTCTGTATAAATGTAATTGAGACTTGTCTGTATAAATGGGTCCTACATAGTTAAAAATGCGGTTGAAACATCCTTCTTCTAGCATGGCTAAATTCGAAATCGATATTTCAAGTTTTGGAAAGAGCAAAAAACTAAATCACTAGGGGGATGCACAGTGGTTGCTCTTTTTTAGACCTTTTGGTTAGATAAACACAAAAAAAAATAAAACATAAAAAATAAAAAGATGAAACACTGCATGCATTAACAAGGGCATCTAGAGACCTAAAAATACTAACCAAGCCAATCAAATAAGGAGCAAGGAAACAAAACTACTAGCATTGTAAAACAAGGCAACACACAAAATCCACTTAACCACTTGGAGGGATGTACGCATTTATCTACCCATCCACCTACCTCTCTAAAAGACGTGTACTTAGAGAAGATTACAGCCAATTGGTCAACAAGTTCCCACATTTTGCACAAATATTGTATGCTAATTTGCTACCAATCTACCTCAGCCAGTAGTACCCACATTTGCCTTAATCAAAACCAACACTAGCCAGTCACTTTCCTACCAAAAAAGAGAAGATAACAAAAATCCATGTCTTTCTCGCCTAAATTTCCAGTTATTTTACTCGCACTCCAAAAAACCTTCAAATACTCCAATCCCCTTTTCAGAACAAAGTAAAATTTAATCTTTGCAGACTCTTTTTAATAACTTTACCCTTCAAAAACCTTCCAAACCATGGCATAATTGCTACAACAAAAAGCCATATCATGAATTATACAGCTGTACTATCTTAGACACTGTGTTAGATTACCGAAACAAAACCATTCCACAAAATAGTTACATAGAAATGGTCAAGTTATGATATTTGTTACCGAGCAATCTTTCGTAGATATACATAATAAATGAAACACAAAAACACCAATATCTTGAAATAAATTGCGAACTAACTCACAGTATAAGCTCAGTACCGATCCCGGAAATGAGACTGAGCGTCAATTTGATGAGAGACTGAACAGCTAGGGTTATGTACCTCGGAGGTTTCTTGCGATTTCGTTCAACACGAACGCGTCAAAGGAAGCAATGGTATTGGAAGATAATTGGAGCAGGAACGTCATAATTGTGGCCTTTAAATTGTTATCGGATCTCAATATTAAATTTTAAGTGAATCTCAAGCTTACCAATTTAATTTAATGGTCACAATCTATTAAATCTCCAAATTATATATTAATAATATTAGTATAAGTGAATTATAAGTATTGTCATGCTGCTCAAGTTTTGGATCAAATCTTGTATCTGAAGTGTCTGTGTGTCACACATTTCACTTTATAGGTCTTAAAAAATAGATTTTTAATTTAATTTGTGGTGCACGTGTGTTTGAAATACAATATTTATGCTCCATTTGGTAGGATGAATGGAAAGTAGGAAGTATGAAAATTAGGAGGAATATACTTTCTATCCTTCAAAAATGAAAAATAAGAATGATACACTTTCTTTTCTTTGTGTTTGGTTGGATGGATGAAAAATAAAAATGACTTTTTTTTTTTTTGCTGACTAAAATTAGAGGTAACAATCGATTTGTGTCGTATCACATTTTTAATTTAAAATTTTTATTTTTATTTTTAAAATTTTTAAAAAAATATATTTTTTTTTACCATTGTATTTTTATATGAAATTAATGTATATATAAAAAGATATATAGACAAAATTAACTTTCCATCCGATTTTAGAGAGATTGATTTTGGTGATTTAGAAGGAAAGTTAATCTATCTACTTTTCCATCCTTCTTTATCAAACATGATGTTTTATTTATCCCTCAAACTTTTCATCTTTCCAACTTTCTATCCTCCCATTTTTTCATCGTATCAAACGGAGCATTAGGCTAAGACTTTGGTAGCATATTATATTTCAAATTATAATGAAGTTCATTATGTTATTTTATAAGAAAAAAATATAAATATATCTTTTTTACTGACTAATAGTTATGGTGGGAAGGGGAGATTGAGATTTGAACTCGTAAATAGTTACGTGATGATGATTATTAGGTCAATTACTAATTCTAAAATATATTAGATCACAAAATTAGATTTGTAAGGTTATAGACCTCGTCAAGGCAAAGCCAATATTGTTCTACAATAGAGGCAATCAACAGTTTGAGGGGAACAACCGCATAACAATCACCAATATTTTTTTACAGATTCGAATCGATTTTTACATAACAACCGCATAAAATTACGATTGATTTTCAAGAGATCCGAATTTGATTTAAAAATTTTTTTTAATCTCATATGAGTATATAATGAGTAGAAAATATCATATATGAAATTAACTCAATATAAAAATTCTTAACACATAAGTAAACTCTTATTAACCAAATACATCAAAAGATCTCAAATGCTTATATTGTCAACATGTTTCTTAAAAGTTACAGATCTTAGTATTTTAGTTAAAGGATCAACAAACATTGATTCTGTATTGATATGTTCAATCACAATATCACATTTTTTCACAAAATCCTTGATTGAAAGATACTTAATTTTCATATATTTAGACTAATTAAAATTTTTGTTGTTTTTTGAGAAGAATATAGTTACACTATTATCATAATTGTTCCTCCAGTTAACATGAAAATATATCTTAAAATATATTTTAAATTTTACAAGTATCTCATAACTTTCTTGGTTACCATCCAGTAATCTAATCCTAATTTAGAAAGATATATTCTGAGAATTCTGAGAACACTAACAACAAAAGGCAGCGTCAAACTTGATACAAACCTATACATACATTATGCTACCAACTACACTTGCATAAGTTATATTCTTCATAGACTCCTTCTCAAGATCATATTTTTTGGACATTGGCTAAAGACTAAACTTGTCAACCTCTAAAACAAACACATCCCCAAGCTTGCAATTATGCATAATGCCTAACATAAAAGATGTTTTCCCAAGATCTTTCATGTCAAATGTTTTAGACAACAATTGCTTGACAACATGAAGTAAGACTAGATCATTATGTGCAAACAAAATATCATCAACATAAAAAATAAGAAAAATAAATTTGCTTCCATTGACATTGAGATATATAAATTAATCCATCTTGTTGTCAACAAAAATTAGTGAATTTGCACATCAAACTTCATTCGAGATCATAGATAGACTTTTTTAACTTGCAGACTACTTGTTCTTTCACATTCTCCTTAAAAACTTACGTTGCATCATATAAACTTCTTCACTACGCTCACTATTCAAGAAGACTACCTTTATGTCCATCTGGTGAAGTTATAGATCAAAATGAGCTACTAATACCATGATGGATTATGAAGAATCCTTAGTAGAGACATGTTAGAAAGTTTCATTAAAATTTGTACATTCTCTCTATTTATACTCTTTTGTTACCAATCTAGCTTAAATCTCTCAATCTTACATTTGGAGTTCCTTTTAGTTTTAAGCACGCATTTGCTGCCAATGGGTTTCCATCCAACGGGAAGTTCCACAATCTCCTATACATCATTGTGTGACATAGAATGCATCTTATTTTGCATGACACCTACCACATATTAAACTAAAGACAAGTAACAACATTATGGTATATTACACTATCAACAACATCACCAATATGATAATCACTTTCTCTAAGATATACATAAAACTCATTAGAAATAACAGGTCTCTTCAGTCTTGTAGACCTTCTCAAGATAATTTTTGTAGTAGGCTCTAAAGATTGAAGAGCCTCAATATGAGTAGAAGAGTCAATTGTAGGAGCAGAAGAGTTAATTGTAAGAGCAGCAGGATCAACAACTGGAGCAAAAAAATTAATAATAGGAGTAGGTATAATATTCTCATGCACAATAGGTAAAGGAACTAGGATTACTTCTGGCCCACGATAAAAAAGGATGCACAAAACAATGTAAGAAAGTGCGAGAAGTGCCAAAAATTTGTTACAGTACCAAAGCTTCCCCCAATAAAACTCACTCCTATAGTAAGCCTATGGCCTTTTGCCTAGGGGGAATTGACATTGTGGGACCTCTTCCAACAGGAAAGGGACAAAATAAGTTTGTAGTCGTTGCCATAGACTACTTCACCAAATGGGTCAAAGTAGAACCATTGACAATTATCACCGAGCAGAAGATCCAAGGTTTCGTGTGTAAATCAATCATTTGTAGATTCGGCATCCTGGCAATTATCATTAGCAATAACGACAAATAATTTGACAATGACAAGTTCAAACGATTTTGCTCCAAACCCGGAATCCATAATCACTATTCTTCTCTCGGTCACCCACTAGCAAATGGACAAGCAGAAATAACCTTTCAGATACTGCTTAAGAGCATAAATATTAAGTTCAAACAATCCAAAGGGATTTGGGTGGACCAACTACCAAGCATTTTATTGGTGTATAGGACCATGGCTAGGACACCTACTGGGGAAAAACCATTTTCCTTGGCTTTTGGTATTGAGGTGGTTATCCCTATCAAAATTGGAACGTCCACCCACAGAACTAAGGAATACGACCTTGTGTTAATTGACCGACAACTTGCAAACAACCTGGACTAGCTAGAAAAAAGAAGGAAGGAATCCCAGATAAGAGTAGCAACATACCAAAGTAGAGTCTCCTAGTATTATCACGCCCGAGTCAGGCCACGAGAATTCCTTCTGAATAACCTCATTTTGATCCAAGAGAAGGAAAGTTAGGGGCAATATGGGAAGGATCCTCTCGAGTTATAAAGGTCCAGACACCAAGAACTTATCATTTGAAGAAGTGCTACCAATAACTTGCTTTTGATGCCACTAGTTAATATGGATCTTAATTTTCTATATGGCTAGCTCCAAATAAAGATGTGTACATTATATCCTTTTAATAAAAGAATGTTATTCATGATTACCTTTGTTGTTAGAAGCATTCTCAGCACCCAATTCTCACCTTAGCTCGGATTAAGTCTAATTGGCTCAAAATAAGCAAAATAAAGCTTTCCAACTCTGAACTTAGCTCAGATAAAGCCTAATTGACTCAACAAAAGCATATTAGAGCTTTATAACTCTAACTTAACTCGAATTGGGTCTAATTGACTCAATAAAAGTAAATTGGAGTAAAGTAGCTCTTAGATAAGCTTGAATCAAGTCTGAATGACTTATCAACAGAGCAAGATATATTTGGGCATAATAGCTACCAAGGGACAGTCATTTCACGAGTGACTTCTACAAGGCTGTCACCCTTCTACAAGTCAAGGGGGTAAAGTGCTAAAAGAAAACAAAGCCACGAAACCAAGACATGGAATGCGCAAAAGGATTTTTCATGTTATGATGTTGCATTTACACTTTGTACAAAAAAGAAAAAAAAAGGAAAAGAAGAGAGGATTGGTTAGAGCTCAACCGCGTCATGAGAGCTAGAGGTTGATCCTCTAGGCCTTTTTCATGATGAAGAAGACCCTTCTTCTTAGCTCCTCTTTCGGGTAGCAGGATCTTCCATAACCAATTTTTCATCATCATTTGAGGCCACCACTGGCCCTCCATGGTTATCAAGAATCTCTTCCGCCATGATAGAAAGGGGACCAAAGCATAAAATGTAAGTCTCTTAGAAGTAATCAAGCTCCTAAGAGGCATTGTACTGCCCTATGCAATACCAGTTATCCTTTCCAGATTAGCCGAACTTAACGGGGGCCTCTCCATTTCAAAAAAAAAAATGAAGGACAATTTATAAGCAAAAAGAAAAGTTCCACAAGAAATGCAAGGTATAATCTTGTTCACTCATGTTGGTTGGGACCTCCTATAGCCGGAGAACACAAAGGGATTCTACTGCAATCCCCTTAAGCTCCCAAGCATCTCTAGAAACAAGAACAAAATTGCTCTCCTAACTAATAGAAAGGTTGGGGAGGTCAGAAATTAGTTCAAGCATCCCTTCTCTTCCAAGGAATCAATAGAAACCATGATAGTCAGGAGCCAAGTGAAAAAGAACTTGATGAATTTGGCCACGAATGAAAGTTACAAGGGGAGGGC